AATTCAAGATAAAGCAGTGGCGTAGTATTTTTTTCGCCAAAAATATACATTTCAAAACTCGTACGTACGCCACTGGCAGAGAAAATTAAGAAAATTGTACATCAGAAAATGCGCCTTGAGGCATGGAACATATGTACCAAATATGCCAAAGATGTCTACAAAATTATCTCAGTTATTATTAAAAACTGATTATTTTTGAAAACTTCGCCACCCCGTATCTCAAAAGTTAAGCCGTTTAGGACATACGTCCATAGGATGTTTTTTCCTTAAAATATGTCTAAGAATTACCTCCTCAAATATTAGCATGTGTTTAAGAAACACCCTGTATAGGTATGTAATAATTTTTCCATTTATTCAAAAGTTTTAGTTTTATTTACATTGTATTTTACGTTGTGTTATAGAAATTGTCACTAACAATAGTTATATCTTAAGCATTACCGTTAATTTTATAGGTTTAACTTAATATATGTATAGTATATCTGTGTTTTTACTAAATTCTTGAAATTGTATTGTTCCTGTTCTACGAAGCAAGTGCTTTTGCACTTCTTTATTCAACTATTAATATTATTATGATGTATGAAAGAAAACCTTTCAAATGAATGAATAAAGTTATTATTATTATTATTAGATATAAGATTCACTGAGATTTTTCAGTTTAAAGTATAGTCAAAAAAAATACCGAGAAAACTTTGAAACAGCCCAATAGTAATGATCTACTCCAAACAATAAATACATAGAAATTAAAGAAACTTCATTGAAAAAACTCACCATGGTATCACTAACGATATTCCAACCAAGGATGATATCCTAGACAAACCTGAACACACTAAATTAAATTCGGGGAACTCATGTATCGAATGTGCCGGATACTTATTGGATTCCCTTATCTTATCATTCAGTCTATCACAAACGTTTGTGAAATGGCCACCGATTTATATGAAAATATACGTTTATGGATGAAATAATATTTCTTGTGATTCCCAGAAGAGCCACTCAAAGAATATGTAACTGATTATAGTACTAAAGAAGATTAATTCAATGTATGACGTAATTCCTCTTCTTTTATGAGTATATTCTATCAGTTTCATTGATTTCTATCTGGAATCACTTTCATTTAAATAAACATATATTTTTCTATGATAATATTCTATTGTATAATACTGACTGGATATATTAAGAACTTTTCCTCATAAAGTATGCAATTGCATTCTCGATTTGAAGTTTCATTTTTTCTCTCAAATGTTTGAATCGTCTCTCTTTGTTATTCTTGATCATAAATATCCCGTATATTCTATTACTGAAGATCCAATTTCAAATTTCCTCGAATATGTGTCAATTTCACACCCCGATAAGCAGGGATTATTTCTCCCTTATTTCAGGAAATAATGTATATATTTTGCCAATTCCCACCCTAAAATTGAATAGCTACCCCATTCTCACGAAATAAGCCCATCTTCAGTTGTACTATTTCCGACAATTCGAATGCTTCTGTCACCAAAATGAGGTTCTCAGTTACAATGCGATGAAATGATATTGTCAATCAAACATTTTTAACGGTTTCGATGAAATGCATTGAAAATATTCGGTTTGGTGGTTCTGGCATCGTTTGTGATTATTCAGAAATTGCTTATCTATTTTATGAAAATTAAAGTTAATAGGTAATTTTACCTAAATGTGATTTGAACATACTTGGCACGATTTTTGAAAAATAAAAGTCAAAAATTAAAGAAAGAACAAAATCAATTTTAAAATTTTCATTTATTTTTGTGGAACACAATATTGCCTGTGACGTATTTTCTGATAGACATTGTTTTTTGTGAAGAAATAGATGGACTTTAATGTTTTCTGGGTTCTTCCATAATCTAAAAAGTAAATATTGTGATGGCAGACAAACTGAATTTCAACGCAAACTGAATTTTAGAGTTATTTAACGCCAAAGATTGCACCTATCTAGTCATTACACAATGAAATATCTATTACAATATTTTTATAATTGATTGTATACTTGAACCTTACATTTGTTGAGAAAAAACAAAGTTTTGTGGAGTTTTACCTGAAAAAAAATATGTTTTGTTCGACATTACCAATCAAGACAATCAAAACCTTTGAACATAATATAAATGGGGTAAATCAAGATACCTGTATTCCATATCATAAAATATTTAAAAAACTTCAGCTCGCCATGGGTCAGAAACTTTTGATGTATTCTGTATAAGACGAACAATGGTTTTTCGATATAGTTCAAAATTTCCTGTTCAATTGAGCCCAATTCACCTTATGATGAGTTATCTCAGGAGTCGTTTCTAATATATTGAATATTGAGTCAGTTACGTTCTTGGAAAGATCCGGTGTACCTCAGGGGTCATATATGGGACCCCTACTCCATTTCTTGTTCTTAAATAACTTTGTTCAGGTGGTTGTGTCAGATTGTCGTATTAACACTGATGATTTGAAAACGTACTGGTCAAAACGATTGTATATTACCCCAAAATGGTATCTGTCATATCTTCAATTGGTCAATCAAAAATAAATCCTGCCATAACTTCGACAAGTGCTTCACAATATCATACTCAAGATATGTTTAAAAATCTGTTTGAAATCTGTTTTTCCGTTAACCAGCTGTCACACCCCTACGAACAACAACCCTCAGAAGTCAAAACTTGTGCGAGCTAAGGATTAACGAGGTCTCACCTTTTAACGTGTGATTCCTAACAATACAGTCAATTGAATTCGATTACAATGTGAATAGTAAAGTTCTTCGTGAAAAAGCATCAATATGTCTTGGGTTTTACTTTCCAGAAGGATCTTAAATCCAAAAACTATATACTTGATGCTGCGAAAGCAGTTTCGTAAACAGATCAACATAAGAATTCAGAAAAACTTCCATCAAGCAAACTTGATATGGATGATATTTTTTTAAGTACAAAACACAAGCACTATAGGAACATTCTTAAGGCGCTCTGAGAGCGGTGCCTGTGCGAAAGTAGCGACTCACATTGGATTTGAATCTCTGGAGATTTAACCCATTTGAAAAAACGTTCTCAGGAAGTTTATTCCACATAAACGCAGTTCTCCAAATGGAAGAGTGAGTAGCCGTCGCGTATTTCTGATATGTACCGCTCTTGGTGGAAAAAAAGGTGCCAAGTCACTTGAACACTTTTCTATCGCTATAGAAGAGAAACAAATATCCAACCTTTCTTCTATGTTTCACACTATCAGGTTGCAATTGATATTCGCGTCTCCAATCAGGCGGACGGCTCTTTTCTGGATGGAGGTCAGCAGCTTCAGGGCATGCTTAGGGGCGGAGCTCCATACATGAGAACAATACTCCAAAGAAGGTCTGATCCTAGTTTTATCAAGCATCAAAGCTTGCTGAGTTATGTAATATTTTCTGATTAGAAACAGTGTTTCAAGCTGTTAAGAAGCAGCCTTCGCAGTTCCAGCGACATGGTTGTGCCAAGTCATGTTGGTGTTCATTTAAACCCCCAACAAACTTATCGAAGCAGAAAGCGGACTTGTTTCTTCCGACATTATTATATCCGGTTCGAAGACATTTATGTTTTTGGAGGAAACCGATTCTTGGGTTTTTGTGACATTGAATTGGAAGCCAACCAGAAAAACTAACTTGAAAATTATAGAAACAATACAAAATAAATTTGCCATGATTTCATTATGAAACTCACCAAATCGCTTCAAAATTTGAATCAATAAAATCAGTTTGTTTTCTACATAAGTTACTCAGTGGCCGGAGTCAGCCTGATTATTCGCTAGCCCAAATTAAATTTAATGTATCCCATCACCTACATCGACCCAAATCATCAACATTCAATATTCCAGGACTACTTTATATGTTTTACACAATTTGTGCAACGTATAATAAATGCGCTGATAAATTTCCAGATAATTTTGTGTGTAAATTATGTATGTAAGATTAAAAAGACATCACAATAACTTTGACATCTCAGTTTGACATCTCAGTGCCACGCTTCTCTTAATGATTTATAACATCATAATTTGTCTTGTTCAGATCAATCTGTTGGCGTGGAAACATAGGGGATATCGTTATTATTATTGAATTTTTCAACACATTGCTTTCGCAATTGGATATTGAAGCTGGTTTGTTACATGCCAAATACATGAGTGAGTTTGTGTTGGCCGCAATGGCTGCAATAAACCTACAAATCTTTTTACTTATGCACTGTTCAAAGTTTAGATGGATAAGCCAGATACGGTTGAGGAATTGGGCACCAACATTATATTATCCACAGTTACGGCTAACATAAAGAAATAATGAAATGATATTTTTTGGGAAATATTAGGCTGATCCAGTATGTACCTAGTCATCATTCTATGTTGAAGCTAACTAGTACATATCACTTACCTCCCAAGCAAATCTTATATCTTGCGGAACGCTAGCCCACTTTCCTTGGAACGGTCCATATTTCGTACCCTTAGGAATGGTCACCTTGGCGAAAACTCCAGTTTCTCTCAGTTCCAGTTCACTTGGTAGTGACCCACTGGCAAGTATGACTTCCCTAGCTCTAAGATAGTAAATATCAACTCTCGCGTTCTGTTGATTTGAGTCAACGCTCGGTTTATCGTAAAGAACTTCTGGATTCTTCATGGAGATCTTGGGAGTGCCTTCGAGTAACATGTTGTCGGTGTGGGAGAAGAATCCCCTTTTGTATTCTTGTGCTAGTGCAAACTGGTGGATGTCAGATTCAGTATGGGGTGGTACCATTGCTCTTTCCATGGAGTGGTCTTCTAGTTCCAAATGTTTGGTGGAGGTTTCTATTTCATCTTCGGAACCTTCTGAAATACAAAAAAACCGAGTTATTCTCCTAGCAAAAATGTATTGATGAGAGGTATTCAAATTTCTGAAACATTATTTTTTGATTGAATATCTCTGTTCTGGAATGAATAGAACAGAATAGACAAGAATGAAATATAATGTAATGGAATAGATTAGAATAGAATAGAATGGAATGGAATGGAATGGAATGGAATGGAATAGAATATAATAGAATGGAATAGAATAGAATAGAATAGAATGGAATGGAATGGAATGGAATGGAATGGAATGGAATGGAATGGAATGGAATGGAATGGAATGGAATGGAATGGAATGGAATGGAATGGAATTAATAGAGTAAAGAATAGAATAGAATAGAAAATGGAAAAGGATATAATAGAAAACAGAATAGAATAGAATTGAATGTATAGCTCAAGAATGTGTTCCTTTTGAAAAAGTGACTTTTACTCATTTTTTTTCATGTGTGATCAAAGTATCTGTATTTTTTCAAAACCCTGTATGAAGCAAAGAATATTATGACTTGAAGTGAAGATCCTCATGTTAATACTCCACTCCAATTCGAATTTGATCGTTTCAGTACTAGAGAGTTCAAGATGTTTAGTATTTATAAAAGTACATGTTTGATAAAAAAATCGAAATTAATTTAAATTTTCTGTCTGTTCAAAATTATGTTTTTTCGTCAATCAATTGACAACTCTCGAAAGTCGAAACTTGTGCAAGCTAAGAAGTAACAAGAAATACTACATGAAGTTGTTGACAAAATGATGATAAATCATAATATGATAGTATATACAGGGTGTTCTTTTTGAAAAATCAAAGTAGCCGCTACTTTATAGTAGAAGCGGCAACGCCGCATCGTATGAGATTTCTTAGGAGTGTAGATCATAATCATTTATGCAAACTGTAAAATTTTCAGGTCGATTCGTTGTCTGGTATGCCAGAAACATCTAAATAACCCTACCTCTCATTATTTTTTCATGTTGACTCATAGTCTTGAATATTTGACAGCCGAAACTTGATGATAACCCCACGCGGAATAATTGCCTTTGGTTAGGTTTATGTTTCGTAAATATAAATATCTCTTTGAATGACTCTCAATCCATGTACATATACGTGAATACACACACATTTATCATTGATAGTTCCAATACATTTCTATAGACGCCAATAGATCGGCCGACGAAATATCATCATACAGTATACATCTGAAAAAAATTCAAAACATTTAATTTGCGCCATTCATTCTGCAAGACACAAAAATTCACTTTGCCAAATCAAGTTCATCTGCCGGCGATATCCGCCTTCTAAAAGTCAATTCTCTCTGTATTTGTTTCCGCATTTTATGATGAGCGTTATCAATACACGAAGCCAAACTTTTATTGTAGCGAAAATGATTTCCTTTAGTATTGCATTGCCGACTTGTTTGCGAAGGACTATATATCCAATCCCAAAGATGCCGCTTTTCGCATGTCCCGGTCATTCAAAGGGCTTCTAGAATTCTGTCACAGATTTATCTGTTAGTCTGTAGGGAGGAAGATAACCGAACTTTAGCTAATTCTACGTTTTATTGATTATGGTATCGATAATGTCTTTCCAACTTTATAGGAATATAACACAATTCTGTGATGAAGTTAACGCGGTTTACTCTCAGTGACGCAAATAAGTCAGTGATGTAGAAGAAATAATACGTTAAAGCATTTTCCAAAGTACTCTTTCAAAAATTTCAGTTGGATTAAGACTTTCCTGAGTTGCATAGATGGCAAAGTTCTTCTAGTAAAAAAGAAAGAAAGTTTTGAATGAGGAGCCGTCTATAGAAAAATTTTACGTTGGAAAGTTTTGTACGTTCCACGTTAAATAACTCCGCCTTTGGAAAAATTAATATTTCATCCACCTGACTGGCCATTTCCAAAATGAAATTTCATAATTAATGTGACTATGATTCATAAAAATATATTGATTACAGAAATTTTGTATCGACAAAATATTTCATTTTGGACCATTCAACATACATTCTGTAAAACAGGAATATAACGCCAGTTCCGGTTTTATGAAACTGGTTAATATGATACGACCAATTCAATTTATATGTTTGGTGACAGTCCCCTATTATTGTTCAGAATGAAATTTCAAGTTATTGATTTCTACTTCCGTTTCAAAAATATGATAGAACCGACCAATAGTTGATGATACTTATTCATTTCCATACTGATACCAATACTAATTCAGTTTACTAGTTTGAACGACTTGCCGTTTCAAACCATTTCATCAACATTCATCTAGGTAGTATCATTTGCAAATAGTTCACAATTCATAAGTAGCATATACCAGCATAAATTACCTAGTAGAATTGAATGACAGATTATCATGGCCCCAATATTGAACCCTGAGATGCCCCATGTGTAACTTCAAACAAAGCTGATTGTTTTCCATTCACAACAACAAACTGATGTTTCTCTCTTGGAAAAATAAAAAATGAGAAGCTTTGCAGAGATGACATCATCACAGACTCAATCGGAAATTTTCACAGTCAAATACACTAATTAATAATTGACCCAGAACTGACAGAAATGCGAATGTAAATAGGTGTTCCTTAAGGGTCTCTTCTGGGACTGCTACTATTGACAATATATATTAATGAACTAAACAATCTGACGATTCTTCTATATTTGCCTCATCTGACTCCCAATAAGAACTTCAAGTAGTGGCTTTTGATAAGGTGAACTTGAACATTTGCAGTTGTGAGAAAAGACCTTCAGATAATTTCGTACAATTGAACGACGCTTAAAAATGGGTTATATGATTTGTTGTAAGAAAATGCGTATAAAATTCAACTTATAACATTGATACATTGATATGAGCGGAAACTATTGTAACTATTCACTATACGAGTATTTCGAAGCACTTTCAAGAAAATAAGCATTTGTTCTTTTATTTTCACTGGACATATTGCCAGCATTCTGTTAAGGGATTGAAAAACGCTGGTGAACGCTGAATGGTATATAATAATTTGTTTGCAAGAAGTGGTAAACGATGTTTAAAAATAAATCAAACTTTGATGTTGCGTGGTTATTCATCATGACGTCGGTTCTTACATACAATTGAATATAAGAAGAAGAAAACATACAGGGTGTTTATTAAACATGCGGCAAAAATTTAAGGGACTATTCCTCGGACTATTCTAAGAATATTTTGATATGGCGCTTTTTTCGAAAATACGGAGCGAAATAGAGTTTCGACAATAACAATTTACAACTAAATATTACATGTAATGTTTCTTAATCTACAAGAACTGTTGAAAATGACTACCCCTCGCTCGGATGCAGAGTCCAATCTTCTCCTCATTGACTCCCGAACTCTTTCAAAAACACCAGGATCGTTTCTGATTGCGTTACACCCAGCAGTTATTCGATTTCTCAAATCTTTCACATCTTTCACTGGAGTAGTATAAACTAATGAATTTTTATTACTTCGTAGATCCAGTGTGGTACGCTATACTTTTATTCCGGCTACGTTAATAATTTTGAAATTATCAACATTTTTATTGTCGGAATTATTTTTCGCCCCATATCTTCGAAAAAAAGCGCCCTATCAAAAACCATCAAAGAACAAAATATCCTTAAAATAGTCCAACGAATAGATCTTTAATTTTTGCCGCTGGTTTAATAAACACCCTGTATAAATGATTGTCTATATCCTTCTGTTTACGTGGAGATCGATTTTCATCTGCTCAAAAAGCAGTTGAAACATTTCATGTTTTGAACTATCAGCTGTAATGAAAGAGTTTTCTCTACAAAAGTTTTTTTTCTAGTCATTATAACAACTTCAAAAGTGAGCCTCGTCTAAATTACGTGGTTCATAACTGTCTTCATTAACGTAAAAGATAATACTTTTTAAACACCGATAAATCAAATTTGCCCAAGTAAACACTTGCAGAAGAACGTTGCTACTTCCCATGTGTCAATGTTCTAACACATTTGTCAAAGGCAGGTAATTATAGTCCACCATAAGCAACGAGAAATCACTGATTCATCTTCAGATAAACAAATATAAATTAGTAGAATGCCCAGCAAGACCCAAAAGACCCGTTATGTATTTTAAAGTACCCTCTGCTAGAATACCGTTTCTTCATAAATATCAAGTTCAATCCTCTCAGGTGTTTCGCCAAAACAGAAACTCAACTACAAAATAAAGTGCCTCGAATCGGTCTCCTTATTGTTTAGACGTGCAGCTCGACGTTTTCGAAGTCATAATATCTAAAAATATCCCCGCGACATTTCCTGGAACACTATCTTGTATTTGCAAATAACCTCACCGAAAAGTGCCTCTGTGCGATTTTCAGATGTGTATGTTTATATTTGAAAAAATTGAAAATGATCTCTTCCAGCGCGTCGTGGTTTCTCATCAGACGCAAAATGTGCGTTATTCAATACTGACAGAGAAAGAAAGGCGATACATTGAAGTTTGTTTTGGGTCGATGTCCTTTTTCCTGGGTATGATATCACTGTATTATCCATGATAATAATTATATATCGAACTATTCTACAATGTCTTTTATTTAACAGCAGATTACAAAACCTAATTAGAAAATTGATTAGTTCTGGTGACCCAGGTAGATTTTGAAAAAACAATGACAATAGAAAATTACTTTTTATGAAAACTTGTTCAAGAAGGGTGAGTGAATATCTTCTTGTTGGTTGCTGCATTAGATATGTTATAACCACAACTTCAATATGGACTACGACATATAACATACAGAAAATAAAGGATAAAAATCAAAATATTACTTCCTAGAAGTAATATTGTTATGTTTCTTCAAAATCTACCTGTTCTGCCGGAAATAATCATTTATCCCATTGAGTTTTGACATGAGATAACAATAATTACCAGATTAATAAATTACCTGAAAAAATTGCTTTTTCACAATCTACCTGATTTCACAGAATCAATTATTTATGTCATTGATGTGTTTTGAAATGCCAATAATCAACATATTTGTTAA